TAATGAGGCCTAGATCATTCGGAATACTGTATTCCACATGTAGAAATAAATAACATATCTGCCTGTGAGAATAGATGCGACGTACTTTTAAATTACATACGTTTTCAGTACAAGATTCGTTTAATGTGCCGAATATTATAGCAAAATATAAATACATGTGGAAAACACCGTATGAACTAGGACTTCTACTGAAGACATGGAAGACTTGAAAATGGCAGACCTCTCTCCAACGCTGCCTTTCACATGTGTCGAACTGAATGCAAATATATGAAATTTGTTATGTTCATTTAGAATTTTAAGTTATATTGAACACGTAGAAACGGTCCAAGCACTCGTTTAATAATATACCACTAGAACTAAATATTACTAAAAGATTATTTGTTTAACAMCTTTTTCACAACTTKTATGTCTTCATACTTTTACTTTTACTTTTTTTGACGTAGAATAATCTCAGTATATAGTTCATATATATTAAATTTATTATGTAATGATCGTTCTAAAGTGCTTTCACTTTAAGATCCAGAGCAATTAATYATCGATGCTGGATTCTGGAACACTTCATCGTAAACAGATTTCARAATTAATGAAATATTTCCAAAGAAGCTTTAATCGGATAAAAAACTCAAAGATATGATTATTGGAAGGGTCTTTTTGGATGRATATTAAACGATGCATGAAGCCAACGATATAAAATTTGCATAAGACGTGATGGATGGACCTGAAGTAAGACTAAAAGATTAGAAAGTTTTCTTTCGCTAGMGGAACACGCATTATAAAAATCCGTTTTAAAAAGCATAWATTATACAAAAAGGTAAAGAAATAGAGCTTAGCTTTTTCATAGTAAATTATCCACAAGGGTTTGCAGTGTAATAACATATACCTTACTGATACTAATTGATCAGCTGGCTGAATAACATGCAAAGACCAAATCCAAGATCCGGATATCGTTAATATCTATTAATTCCTCATTAAAGTTCTATATAAAGCTATCTATATAAGTAGAATGAAATAGAACAAAACACCAACTTGAAGCTATAATAACTCTGTTTATTGGACGTTTCGGCACTTCGGCCTTCTTCAGCAAACTCTATCTAAAGCTATCTATATGATAGTATACTCACCCAAGAGTCCTAAGATTAGATATAATATTCGAAGCTCCATGTCTCTTAATCACTGATTGTACGAATGTGTGAAAAACAGGTCCATATATAGCGCTCCGCACAGTTACTAAAAATAGATACATTAATATGCGACCCCMTATGGACTCAGACATTGARCCCAAACACGCCATACAAACACACCAAAAAACCACTGATTTCATCAAGAAATATMTTCAATATATTCGTACTAGAAGCTATTAAACATAACGATTATGTCGAGTAAGCACTAGTTGCTTTGATTGAACGTAAAATTATACAAGCGAATAAGAAATAAATTCTAAAGAAATATCAACTCAAGCTACTTCGTATATACATAATGGTTTCCTATTAGTTTGAGACTATTTAATCACAAGTTTTGGGCCCGTTTAACGSCCCGCTTTCGCTTTACTTTTTGACTTTTGCTCACGAAAACTTTATAGAATATAATTTTCCCCTTCTTTGCATGCTCTATTTGCTTGACTTTGTTTGATTTAGTTTCCTAAATGAGATGCCTATTGCTCAAAAAGTCTTTAAAATGCTATTTTTCTGACGATATAGCTTTAATATCTAAGATTCTGAGCCCTAAATAATTCGAGATTAGGGTGAGATTAGGGGCAGTTAAACATCGTTTTATTCACTCGAATTTGGAATTCTTTACAAGTTTATCAAAGTTAAGAGCCCTACACGTTATAATCTTAAGTCAGAATAGAAATTCGTTGCGTTTAACTACCCATTATCGATGACTAAAAATGGCGAATTTACCAAGGATTAGTATGCAGCATTGTAAAGTGTGTCTGAGTTCTCGACGGGGTGCAAAATGTGTGACGTCATMTGTGCGGAGCGCTATTGCTCGAGTGTAATTATTCAACACGTCATTAACAATAGTCGACGTCACTGGTATGACTCAGGAATTGTAAACAACTCAGGGAAGGGGTGTTGGGACATCCCTAGKGGGGTCTAGAGGGCCAAATAATTAATTATTTTAAGTCGGCAAGAGTCAACTCTTTTCCTCCTATAGGTGTTYAAAAATAATAACAATAATAATAATAATAAAACAAACCTAGATTATATTTTTTTTTTCGTATCCACTACTTTATTAGTAGTGCGGTTCTAGTGTGCCTTTGACACAGGAAGACCGAGAATGGATTTGCCTTCATAAAAGGTCTGGGATGCAAATATTGACGTGATGTAAATATATGCGCAAGTTGCTGTTTACGCATCTCTGCCTCACCGTGTCATGAATATTCACATGATTTTATTCATATAATGAACTGCTTAGTCATGCATAAGAACTTAAATGAGACTTTCACGAAGAACATGATTTTGTAGTGTAAAAATGGTACACCATTTTAGCACTAAATGTTGTCCYTGATCCCCAAACATAACTAATGTATTTTGATCCCTGAATCCACAAACACTTTATGATCCTAATTTCTTGCGATCCTGATAATTGGCATGAAATCACTGATCCCTGTCCCCTTCTCCATTCTCGCCAGAGGAATATCAAGTCTCATAGTTTACTTATGTGGACTCGAAATATGGTTAAATTTCTGTTGCGATTTTTTATGTAAATGTTCGAGTGAGGTAAAACTCAGCCATTTGTAAATTGCAATCAAGGTCACAACAGCATGACRAAAACGTCACTATAATGACGTCATTAGAGTTCAGTTTGGTCACGAAACGGAAATTACGTCATGATGATCATTTTACTCTTGTGATAACACGATACAATACAATAATTTTATTAAGCAATCCAAAAATGGCTTTTCATGCCTAATGGACAACCACGCAAAATTGAAGGATTGGCAATGTTTCGGCGGCTTTGTATGTGCCGTGACTTAGGCTATGTTACCGGATATTGCAAGAATAGAGTATATTCACGACTTTAAAAATAGTATAATATTCTACCCTATCCATTGTTATTAATGAGGTATGGGGATATCCACCTGGCCTGGAATCATCCAGTTAAGCCCCAAAGGTGGATTTTTTTACTCGTAATCGTACGCTTGCCGCGGGAGGTGGGTGGGTAGCCATCCTACTGCTTGTGCCCTTTGAATGAAGTGATTGGAGTAGCCACTCCCTGACCCTATATAATACTCATTTACATAATTACAATTCCCTAGGGTATTAATTATAATATTCAAATGACTTTGAATAGTATAATATTCTACCCTATCCATTGTTATTAATGAGGTATGGGGATATCCACCTGGCCTTCCCCTACCTCATTAATAACAATGG